AACAGCCCTGATGCATACCTTTGCTGATTTTAAACTATGTATCATTCTCTTGTTCTGTTCATACAACAGCTTCTGTGGTCTATGTGTCAGTTTCACAGCAGTGTAAATAATATCTTGGGATTCCCATTCTTTTCAACGATATCCAGAATTTGTTATGGTGCACACAGTCAAATGCCTTTGTACAGTCAATAATGCAAGAAAACACCTTTCTGTTATCCTCTGCTTTCAGCCAAGATTCAAAGGACATCAGCAATGATAGCCCACGCGAATGGGAGAAGGGAAAGATTTTTTTTAAAATAAAAAACGTAGAAGGGAAAGATTTTTTTTAAAATAAAAAACGTGTTTTATGTGTATTTTTTATGATGTTTAAGGAATAATAATCTGAATCACAATTAAAAAAATAAAGTTGGGTTTTGGAGTCATGTGACTTTGAATAATGGCTCAGCCATTCCTGGCTGTGTAACCTTAGGCTAATCACTTAATATCTTTATGTGTTAGCTTCCTCAACCTTTAAATGAGTATTAGTACACTTCTCTTATGGGTGCATTATGGATTAAGGAATGCTGTATATAAAACAAGAACTCTGAGGGTTCTGTGTTTAGGATACTCAGTTGCTAATAAACAGACTGGTCGTTTGAATGCCCCAGACCTTCAGGAAAAGAATGAGGTGGTCTGTTTCCATAAATACTGGTTATTGTTATTAAGGGCCATTCAAGTACAACTTATAGCAACTTTACGGACAACAGATCTGAATCCTGTCCGATACTGTGCTATCCTCATCATCTCAGACACACTTAAGCCCACTGTTGTAGTTAATGTTCTATCCATTTCACTGAGGGTTTTAGTGCCTTGAAAACCCTCTGAGGTGGTTCTACTATGTCCCACAAGGCCAGTATAAGTCAGAGTCAACGTGTTGGCAATGGACTGGGTTAACTTCATTACATGTAAAGAATTCAGAACTCTGTCAGGCACATAGTAAAAGCTAAACAAATGTCGGCCATTATCGTCCTTGAGCACTCATTCAAACGTCTCACCTTATCAAGGGGAGATTAAAGTCCAATATCGGCACCAATTTTATTTGGTAAGTGGGAACTGTATTTGTGCAGTTGTTTCTGTACACATGAGGCAGAATGAGAGATGATTTATTTAGCATTGCTTAGTACCATGTTCTGGGTTAGCACACTTCTAAAAAGTGATACAGTCATTCTCTTCCCCTTAAGGAGATGTTAGTTGCTGTGGCTACTCACAGAAATCTATGTACTTGAATTCTGTAGTTGTCACAAATTATGGGATCATTAAGTTAAGGATCTTGAGACTATGAGGTGTGTGTGTGTGTGGGGATCATTAAAAATATAATTAAAAGCTTAACAAAAAATCATAAGTATATCTCTCTCTTTGCCATCAAGTCAGAACTGATTCTCCAGGGAGTTTTGGAGGCTGTATATCACATGGAAGGTGCCTGTCTTTCTCCAGCAGAGGCTCTGGTGGACTGATACACTTTTGGTTAGCAGAGTAACTTCCTACAGATGCCGCCACCACAGATCCATATCACCAGTAAAATATAGTCTGAAGTGACACTGTTGTTTTGCTGCATACCATCAAGTCAGAACCACCCCTAGCTGACCTTCTGGTAGGTTTTCAGAGGCAGTTAATCTCATGGGAGCAGGTAGTGGCCTCGAACCATGTGCCTTTGGAATTGCAGCACAGCTTTTTGCCACGAGGCCACCAGAGTTCCCTAAAATGGCCCTACCTCCAGATAATTTTAATTCACAAATGTGAAAAAACCATCACTGAACTCCAGTACATTTTCCTCTGCTGGAAATCCCTTTTTCAGCTGCTCAGAAAATTATGCAGTGCAGGAGGGTCTGTTAAGATAGGTTTGTCCCAAAATTTCAAGTTTTGCAAACTCTCTTTTTACAAGTTTTAATCAACTGTGCAAACTCTCTTTTTACAAGTTTTACTCAACAAGTTTAGTATATTTATGCTTTTACTATTCCTTGCTCATTTTTCCAAACCACTAAAAATCATGGACAAAGCCCATCTGAGAGTGTAAGCAGCTGGGAAGGCCACGTTTTTCTGGGTCTGGTCCTCAGCCCATGTCAGCTCAAGAGACTGGCACACGAGTGAAGCCCTTCTCCCTGTAGCTGCATGATCTGTGTGATGGCCAAACAATGAACAGTTTGGTTTTTTCCTTAAAGAAACTTACTAGAAAATCTGGCATATAAGTAAAAAAATTTGCTACCTCAAAGCCACAGGTAACTGATATTTGTGAAGTATTACTGAATTTATAATACATTAGCCATGAATATTCTCTTCCAAAATAATCTTTGTGATATTCAAATCTCACTGTTCGTCCTATGCATCAAACCTTCAATGGCTTCCAATGCCTCCAGAGAGAATCCCAGCTTGTTAGCTGGTGGTCGATGCCCTCTATAATTTACCAGGACCTCTCTGCTACTCCAGCTTCTTTCCCCCTGCCTCCAGTGTCCTGGTCAACTCCTGCTAAGCAGAGTTCATTAGTCAATCCTTCATTTATTCCTTTGTAGTATCCCAGTCCCGAGCACATGTTTCTACTGCTACACATTCCACCTAGCAATTAATATATCTGTCTACTTTTCCCATCATCCAGACTATAAACTGCTAATTCATTTTCATAATTCTAGTGTTTAGTCTACAGTCTGGGAAACAGAAGTGTTTACAAAACTAAATTTTGAAAGCCCCACCTGGAAAATACCCAAGAGCCTTTGAGGCAACCCCACATCATAGTGCACACAATTCCCTAACAAACCACCTGATCCAAGTCAGTGATGACCCATGGAGAAGATGCATTCAACATGAGTGCCAAGAAGACACATTAGGCTTCTAAGACTATAAAAAAATGTGATGTCTGTCTTGCAAGGCAATGAACTGCTTTTATATGATCTTTCTAGCAACACTCTTGTTAACTCTCATTAGATGACTGGCTGGGACTATGAAAATAAGACAGATGGAACCCTTTCAGGGAACTCTAACACAAGTAAGATATATGAAATCCTAATAAAGGACTAGTTAGTTCATGTTCTTGCCTGGGTGAGGGGGTGCACCTTGAAATAGACAAGGAGCTTGTTATATAAAGTCTACTTAATAAAAAGTTTGAAAGAGAGGCACACAGCAAAAGGCGTTAACAACTGATGAGAGCTAGAGAGGTGAGGGGTGGTACAACAGTGTAAGAATGCCAGCAGGCAAGGACGGCAGGAACAAGACCAATGCCAGACGGCTGTGGTGCAGCTCACTGACCCACGGAACTAGGAAGTATAACCGGTGCTTGAGCACAGCCTAGTGAAAGCAGCCAAGAAACTGTGCTGATTGGGGGTGAACCTGTTACTTCCTTAATAAAATCCATAATCACAGAATACTGTCTGCAAGTTCCATGTGACCATGCAACAAATTTCTGAGCCCAGCAGAGACGTGTGCGCCACAGTGTGAGAACTAGAGAGGCGTGCCTGACTTTCACCAATAGGCGTCAGCTGTGGAGCTAATGCTGATGATGCTCCCCCTTGAGAAGTAGATGACCTTGGATTCTCTCATTTTTTTATCTCTGAAGAAGTAATTTTATATCAGCCAGGAATCATAATTTCTCATTTTAACATGCAGGAGGAGGGCTGCAATAGAAATTCTAGAAAGGTAAGCACATGGGCTACGCCTGTTTCTAACTATGCTCTTGACAACAGCTGGGTCCATTCTTATCAGTAGTGATGCTTCCATTTTTCCCCCCTCTAGTATTTACCAAAAGGGGCTCCCTTGTTCAATTTTATGCACATGTCAATGCAGTTTTCATCTAGAAGTGAAAATAATGCAGGTCAACACTAGGGGACACTCTTGCCACAGGCAAAAACACAAGCTGCATGGTAAAGGGGTGGGGGTGGGGGGGAATCCAACAACCTAACCAACAAACCCACTGCCTTCAAGTGGATTTCAACTCGAGTGGCTTCCCATTGGTCTCCAAGGCTATAAATCTTTCAGGAAGAAACTGCCCAGCTTGCTCTCTTGGAGCAGCTGGTGCATTTGAACTTTTCAGTTAGCAGCCCAACATGTAACACCTTACCACCTTACACCACCGAGAACCTTCATTTTTGGAAGGCAGTGGGATGAAAATGAAAACTTTCTTCACTTGGAAAAACGATCCTAATTATTTCAAGTGAAAATCCCCTCATATAACTGGAAACCGTAAATACAATTCATTAGACAAGGCAGTGAAATCACAGCTAACAAGAACAAATGGATATCTGAGTTCATGGAAAACATTTTTAATGGGAGAACTTCTACATCTCTATTTCTAGATGTCTGGGCATTCAATGAAGAAAAGGAACCTGCTAGGATTGCTTGCTCTCTTACTGTTGCTGAGCCAGAACTGACCCTGCTGTGGGTTTTTGAGGTTGTGAATTGCACAAGAGATGGACCATCTTTCTCCTGTGGAAGTCAATGGTGGATTCGAACAGGGTTGGGGGTGTAGCTGGGAGTTTGTAGTGCAACCCTCTACAAACTATGCGACCAGAAGTCCCTCTGCTAGAAACACCCAAGGCATTTTGTCTTTTAACAAACTCCACAGAAAAATTCAATGTGTTCCATTTTTGTTCAAAACACAGAAAGAAATTTTTTCTTTTATCTTAATTCTCAATGGGAAGCAATCCTGTGTTGCAGAGTCAAATCCTAATGGAGCGGAAATCCAGAGCTTTAAAAGAATCCTCTTACAGAAAGGAAAAATATCTTCCCCAAATGACTAATCCTTTTACACCAAAAAATCATAGCACTTCTCAGCTCTTAACACATATGGAAACACACTATAGCTATGTGACTGATTCAATCTGTTCAAAGAAATGGAGCAATGTTTTTGATGAAAGAGCATTTACCAGGCTCTGTTTAATTCCCTGGAAGACACATCAGTGAATGCCAGCAGACAGCAGGCTATATCTGAGCCACCACTGTAGCAGTGGTTCTAAATGGGTGTCCCCTGGGCCTACCTTCAGGGTCTTCACTGCCACCGTCAGGCTGTACTTCTTCCATACTCCTTCATATACCTCCCCGTACTGGCCTCCTCCCAGCTTGTGCTTCATGGTGATGTCTGTGCGCTCCATCTCCCACTTGTCATAGTTGGGGGACACACCATAAACAGTGGGCTTGTTGCGCTTGGGGGCTGGATAATGGAGAGTAGTAATCAGCCCGTCTGCCACTGTTGAATGGTGATGTACCAACTCGGCCAAAGTGTTGAAGCGGCTCTCCGAGGAGACATAGAGCTGAGGAAAAGAGAGAACAGCTTTCAGGCCACAGACCAGATGTGAATTCAAACAACTGTAATAAACCTGTTTTGCTGAGGCTTCATTTCATTAATGCACAGCAAATTCCAAATACATAGATCTCTGTGCAGCAGTGTTTAGGAAATCACTTACACTGTTGTCTTCTATGTGTGCCTAATTTACTTTGGTAAAGCTGAAAAGACAATAAAATGCCTCAGGGCCTTTGCACCACCTGCTGCTCTCCCAGCTGGAAATCCTCTACCCTCGAATCTTGACATGCCCAGCTTTCTTTTACTACACTAAGCCCAGTTTAAATGTCTGAGGAACACTCTCTGATCACCAACTTAAAGCTGCTACCCATCGCCAGTCATTCCATCATTTATCGTGCTTCTTTGTATTAATTATATTTAACACCAGTTGATCATTTCTCTACTCATTAGACTGTAAGCTTATGATAGCAGACCTAAATAGTCTTTTAAAAATCCTGTGTCCTCACAATGTTGAGAACAGAAAGTGAGCATGTAACAGGCACTCAACAGACACCTGTTGATTAAATTAACGGAGAGCTGTTACTGATGCCGTCTAGCTGACTCCCACTCACACGGAGACCATATTGCAGAGGAAAATTGTCTCAGAGTTCTCTTTATAGAAGCAGATCACCACATCTTTATCCCTTGGAGCCTCTGAATGGGTGTGAACTGCCAACCTTCCAGTTAGTAGTGGAATAGTTAACCATTTAGCCACCAGGGGTCCTTAATGAATGGATGCTAATGTTAGATGCTGTCAAGCTGACTGACTCAACACCATTCAATCCTGCAAGATTCCCACAACTGCCACCGTGCTGCAGTTCATTATTATAATCTCTGTGTCAATTAATGAAAAATAGAACCCAAGAACTCTGTGCCAACTGGCGGGAAAAAATCTTTAATTTCTATTTTATAAGTGGATAAATCTAGAATGAAACCGTGATCAATAAATGAAACATCTCTTTTGCATTTTTATCCCTCCTTTGCTTTGAGCTGAGGAGTATCATAGGTCAAACGTGCAAATCCTGGGCATGTCCCTACAGAATGCCTCCATAAGCACTCTCAAGGAACAGAATGGGATCACTCCTTTCACACAGTGGAGACGTGGGAGGCCACAACAAGCAGGCTATAAAGCCTTCTCTATCATGGATAAGTCTTCAGCTCAGCAGCAAGAGAGGACCTGTGTAGAGAGCCCTCCGTGTGGATCCTGTCTGAACACATGGAGACAGCGAGGCAGTGAAGGAGCAGGCTAGCAGAGAGCAGCACTGTGGGCAGTGACAGCTCCCCTTTGTCTTCTCTCTATTAAAAGCCCTGGAGAATCGGGCTCCAGGCACAAGACTGACTCACTAAGAGCACCTGGAGGTGGAAAGGACACTAAGCACCATGATTAGGTGCTCAGAAGATCTGGCCAAACTGCAAAGACATGGAATGACGAATATGGATTTATTACAGTGCTAACTCCTTGGGTGAGAGGGAAAGCAAAGGAATAGCATTAACCTTCAGCTGTATAACTCAGAAAAGGGAAGAAAAAGCTTGACATACATACAGCAAAGTGGAAGTGATAAAGGAGGACCAAGGCCTTGAGCTATGGGTTATGTCTGCCCCACTGTTTGTTTTGAATGCCTATAATATTAAAGAATAACAGTATTTTCATAAGGAAACAATGACAAAATATATACATTGATCCCACTTTGCTTTCTGGGCTCCTGGGGCGGGTTCTCCCGGGAGCAAGGCTCAGAGCATCAAATGCAGAGCTAGCCTCAGAAGAGGGCTTCCGACCAGGAGATCAAATCCCTGCAACAGAACCATGTGACAAAGGCTCCTTCAAACCCTGTTTTATGCAGAGTTTGCTCTTGGTCTCATCCGATTCCCTCTGAGGTTTCTCTGTTAGTGATTGCAGAGTTATGAGAGGTTTCGTTGAATGGCATACTTTATCCTTTTTGATAATTAAATTTACAGACCTTGTGACTTAGTTCATCTTTCAACATAAAATTTACATACTGAAGCTCATTAAATATTGAAACAACTCTCCCTTCAATGAGCTGCATGCATGTTCATGTCACAGTCCTCTCCTAGCAGTAGGGCTGGTGGCCTCTTCCTGATTAGTTTTGAGCCGCATTTATGCCCATGATCTGGGTAATCTTCATCAGGAATTCATGGCATGTTCAAAGAAATCGAAATCAGCATTAATGAACGGCATGTCATTATGCTATGCACTTGGCTACATCAACACTAGGGGTTCAGCCAGGGCCACTGTCTCTTCCTCACCATGGAGGGAGCCTGAAAGAGAACATGTCAGAGAAACTCACCAGAAAAGGCTGTCCTCCTGACGGCCAGACCACTAGGCTTAATCAAGCTTAGGTCTGTACAACCTTTGGCTTCCACATACATCCAAGTCCCTCCTTGTGCAAATTACAGGCTACTTGGTAAGGAAGTGATGGCCCCTTGAAGGCTTCTCACAAACCAACCAAAGCTCAGTAATATTAAATCATGCTTCAAGTTTCTTCCACAAGGGAAGACTGGTTGTTTTGGAAGGTTTTTCACCCACATACCTGTACTTGCTGGGCTATTTTCAGGGTGAGTGAATCTTAAAAATTCATGAGACTGACCCATCCTGCTGCCAAGTCTGCCAAAAGTGTAAGTCAAAATTCTACTCTTGTCAGTCTGAACCTGTCACTTCAGCAGACCATGAAAATGTCAAATGTGCCTTTCTTGCAAGAAGAAGAGGCTCTATCAGGGGCTATAATGACCTGGAACCTGGCAGTGGCATTTCACAGTAGTAAATGAGTCATGAGCTCAAACAGCCAGAACAACTAAGGAAGATTTAGATGGGTTGATGGACAAACACCACTCTTTCATCCTACTATGTGGCCAGAGGATTACAACTTTTGAAAGAGCAACAGAATTACAATCAAATTCCAAGATATTTAAAGATTCCTAAGACTATCAAGCCTCCCAGGAAACAGCAACAACTCAATCCAGCCCTTTCAAAAGTCCAGCTCAAAATTCGCAGTCCTCTGCACAGGGCCATAAGCTGCTGACCCTGGGATGACTGGCCAGACGGGAACAGGAGGAGAATGATAAACAAAAGCTGATGGTGGAGGCAGAGAGAAATCCCTTGGAGAATTACAGAAGAATCTTCTAAATTCAATTGTGTGTGTATTTTAAAAGATTAAATAATTTGAAAATAAGAATTAAACTTATCCAAACCCAAGCTGCCCCTCCTACCAACCTTACATTTTCTGCTTAGAAATCCAAAACAAATTACATCAAAACTGCTATGCAAGATTTTAAAAAATGCCGAGCCACACTGCCCCACACTTGGTTATTAATACTTCCTCCCCGCTGTGATGCTGCTTCCCTCAGCCTCCTCAACTCGAGTTTCAGAGAAAGGAACTTCCTTATAGCCTGACAGGTTCAGAACAATCAGAGGCTTGATAGCTGAAGACTGAGACTTTGCTCAGGAGCGAATGATGTCCAAGAAAGCTTGGGAAATTGTTTGATGTAAAGACTGGTTGATAAAACATGTTCCTAGTGCTCTGCCTGGACTGGAAAGAACCCACCTGAAACCCTTCTGGATTTCAAAGTCTGACTTACTCTTTGGATCAGTCTCAAATTCTACAAACCATCAATCCCACAGTATTACTTAACAGTATTTTAGACCAATCCTTGGCTAATGACTTGACAAAAATAGATCATGTCTGACTGCAAGTGTTCCAAGAATGCGGATTAAACAATTCTAGTGAAAAGAAACCACTAACCTGTTCAGTTAAAACCTCAACTGGTAACCCAAGTGTAGCTCAACTTGCCTTTAATCAACTACACAGATGTGAAGCAAGCTGTCAGTTCCAAAATACTACCTCCTCTATGAGGGATACAAGACCCTAGCAATTGATGGAATGCCAACTGACATATTTTAGCAATAGATGTTTCCCTAGACGTGCTCACCAGGTTATGCCAAGAAATCTGGAGGATAATTACCTGGCCAACTAACTGGAAGAGATCTGTATTTATTCTCATTCCAAAAAAAAGGTGACCCACCAGAGTGTGGATATTATTGAACAATATCACTAATACCACATGTAAGCAAGATCTTACTGAAGATTATCCAGAAATGACTGAATGGTACACCAGCAGACAACTACCAGGTGTGCAGGCTCGGTTTAGAAGAGGCGGTGGCACTAGGGACATCACAGTCAACGTTAGATGGATCTTGGCTGAAAGCAGAAAGTTCCAGAGTAATGTCTGTATGTGTTTCATTGACTATGCAAAGGCATTTGACTGTGCAGATCAACAAATTGTGGCTAACCTTGTGAAGAATGGAGATCCTAGAATACTTAACTGTGCTCATGCAAAAGTTATACTTGGACCAGTCAGAACAGAACAAGGAAACACTGCATGGATTCAGGATGAGGAAAAGTGTGCATCAGGGATGCATCCTATCTCCGTATCTTTTCATTCTATATGCAAAACAGATCATTTGGGAGGCTGGGCTTTAGGAAGAGAACTGAGGCATCAAGATTGGATGAAGACTCATCAAGAACCTGTGTTATGCAGATGTCATAACCTTGCTTGTAGAAATTGAAGAAGACGTGGTGTTTGCTGCAGACAGTCAAGGACTGCCGTCTTCAATATGGACGGGAGTTCAACATCAAGAAGACAAAGATTCTCACCACTGGGTCAATCAGCAGCTTCATAATGGAATAGAGAAGGGATTGAGATTCAGTTTGATTGGTTCCACAATCAACACTCTTGGCACCAGCAGTCAGGAAATAAAAAGACAATTGCATTGGTAAAGTCTGTTTGTCAGGGATATCTCTAGAGTACTAAGAACAACAATGTAAGTCTAGAGACTAAGGTGCAGGCCATGGTTTTCACAATTACTTGCTATACATCTGAGAGGCAGACAATAGCTAGGGATGACAGAAGAAGGATCAATGCCTCTGAGTTGTGGTGAACGAAACCAGGTTGCTTCACGTAGGTCAGGATTTTGAGGATCTGTCTCACATACATTGAGCATGTCGCCAGCAAGGACCAGTCCTTAGAGAGTGACATCATACTTGGAAGAGTGGAGGGACAGCCCAGGAGAGGAAGATCCAGGATGAGATGGATTGACTCAAGATAGGGCAAAGTTCAAAGCTAACATACACAATATGTTATGAGTATGAGTCACAGGGGACTCGATGACACATAACAAGAACATGAGAAATACACCTTGGAGTTGATGCACTTAAGAGACCCTGTTGTGTCGAGCTCTGGTGGCCTAGTGGCAAGAAGCTGCAACTACAGTCTCAGAGGTGCACGGTTCAAATCCACCAGATGCTCTGCTGGAGAAGGAGGAACAATCTCCTCCTGTACCAGTCAGATCTGATTTGACGGTACACATAAAAATAATGAAATAAAATAGACTTTTTTTTTAAAAAAGCACTGTTGTAACTTGAAGGCTTTTTCAAAAGGTTGCATCACTCTCAAGCACAACCTATAAAATGGAACAACGTGGCCCAACATTTAGGATAACTACCACCAAAGGAAGCCAACTGCAAGGATGATGTCTCATTATGTATTAACACCACAATGTGTTCTCTTCTGTACAAACTCCAGAGCTGGTACGATAAACACGTGCAATGATGAGTACTAGGTATTGGTAAAAATTTTAGCCAGAAAACTTTGAGACAAGTGAAAAAAAATACCAGACAAGAACATTTTAAAAGGAACTATATATATTTTCACATGGTAAAAACAAATGTTAGAGTAGCCAGGAGAATGTGAAATGCTTAAGGCCTAGCCCTACCAGATATTAAAACATAAAACTATAGCAATTAATAGGGTCGCCATGAGTCACAAGCAACTCGACAGCACATAACAACAACAATATGGTAATTAAAATAATTTGGTATTAGCCTATGAATAATTAGTTCAATGAAACAGACCAGTGAGTAAATCAACAGACCAATATACATGCAAGAATTAGTATATTTCCAACATGCAGGAAAGATGAATTTACTAAATAGCAAAGGAATAATCAAATACAGTTATTCTGTTCTTTACTAATTAGATTGATAAGGACGTTTTTTAAAGGTCTGTTTACTATTGATGAGGGGAGGGCAAAAAGGTAGTCTTCACATGCTGCTAGCGAGAATATAAAACTGTGTAATTTTTAGAGAATAATCTGGCAGTATCTGTAAGATTTTAAATGTATATAAACCTGCAATCCAGTAATTCAAGGTTAGACTTAAAACTGCACACAAAGACAAATGTGAAGCCAGTTTTCAAACTGCAGGTTATGACTGACTAGGTCTATGAAATTAATTTTGCGGGTTATATCCAGGATTTTTTAAGATAAACAAAACCAAAACCACACAGCGTAATCTGCGCAGAATAGAACAGAAATGATCAGAGTGCATGGCACACAGTGTGAGGACTGGATGGTGATATAAAAAGTTTTTCTTACAGTAGTTTGAGATTTTCAAAAGAGCTTTCAAACTTCATGATTTATAACAGTGAAAGATTGGAAATCAGCCTAAAAGTCACCCAGTAGGGATTAGTTAAATAAATGACAGTCCAGTCACTCTATGCAGTCATTAATAAGAGTGTGGCAGCTCTAAATGCACTACCATGTAACACCCTCCAAAATACATTATTAGATGGAAAAAGTCAAGAAGCAGAACAATGTATATGGAGCATGTATCATTTGTGATTTTTAAAACTATAAACAAATATATACATGTATAAATATAGAGCAACTCTGAAAGAAATCGTTAACAGTAGCTGCCTCTGGGCAGGGGAAGTGAATTAAGAGATGGAACTATTTTTCACTCTAATTCATTTTAGTCTACAGATTTTTCTTTATCTGGGTGCATGTATTATATATCATATTAAAAAAAGAAACACATGTACAATCTGGTCTACAACGACCCACATCTAATACCTCACTCCAGCACAGTGCTACAGCAGACTGGTGACAGCCAGACTTAGGACCATCAGTTATTCTAAGTGACCAATGGGCAAGAAATTCTACCTCTCTAAGCTTCTGATTCCTCAATGGCAAACATGCAAATTACAGCAATATCCATTCTAAAGACTGTAAAACGTCTCAGACTGCAATAAGAACTCACTGAATTCATCCCTTTTTCTCCTGGAAGCTTAGAAATTGGTTAGAAGAGGAAGACAAAAACACAAAGAAATAAATGTCAACTCTTTTAAAAACAAGTTTGATTTGGGTATCTGTAGGTATAATGTGATCTAACTTTTAATTTTAAATTGTATTTCTATAGGAATGTAAACACATAAACATACATAAATGTAATTTTAGCCACAGATGATCATAAACCAGACTTACTAAAGGGAGGCCCTTTAAAAATAGCTACTGGACCAAGAGGCAGTCATCAGAACAGAGCAAGGAAACACTGCATGGTTCAAAATTGGGAAGGGAGTACGCCAGGGATGTGTACTGTCTCCATACCTTTTCAACCTGTATGCAGAACAGATTGTATGGGAGGCTGGGCTCTATGAGGAGAAATGTGGGGTCAAGATTGGTGGAAGATCTATCAACAATCTGCGATATGCAGATGACACAACCCTGCTTGCTGAAACTGAGGAGGACCTGAAGCGCTTGCTGCAGAGGGTCAAGGACTGCAGCCTCCAATATGACCTGAGGCTCAATGTCAAGAAGACAAAGATTCTCACCACTGGACCAATTGGCAGCATCTGGATGGATGGTGAAGAGATTGAGATTGTTCACAGTTTCAGTTTGCTTGGCTCCACAGTCAACACTCTCGGCACCAGCAGCCAGGAAATTAGAAGATGTATTGACATGGGAAAGTTTGCTGTTAGGGACCTCTCCAAAGTACTGAAGAGCAATGGTATCTCTTTGGAGACTAAGGTGCGTCTGATACAGGCCATGGTCTTTGCTATCACTTGTTATGCATCAGAGAGTTGGACAATGACCAAGGAGGATAGAAGGAGAATTGATGCCTTTGAGCTGTGGTGCTGGAGAAGAGTGTTGAGGGTACCATGGACTGCTAGGAAAACAAACAGATTCATTCTGGAAAGGGTTAAACCGGGCTGCTCCTTGGAGGCAAGGATTCTAAGGCTCCGTCTAACATACTTTGGACATATTGCAAGAAGGGACAGTTGGACATATTGCAAGAAGGGACAGGTCCTTGGAGAGGGACATCACGCTTGGTAGGGTGGAGGGACAGTGAGAAGGGGAAGGCCCCCTATGAGGTGGATTGATTCAGTGACTGGCGTAATCGGGATGGGTGTGTCAGAGATGGTGCGACTGGCACAGGACAGAGCAGAGTTCAGGGATGTTGTACATAGGGTCGCTATGAGTTGCAAGTGACTCGATGGCACATAACAACAACAACAATAACTTCTGTCCTAATAAGAGACTAAAAAAAAATAAATAAAAAAAAAGAAGGGTTCTTAATGTGTCATACGAGATCTGTGGACTTGGCAATGGTCATCTTTCCTAACTGTTCCATCAGTCAATACAACAAGTTTTGCTCTTCAAAGATTCAGCAACATCTTGGCTGTTTTTTTGCAACAATTTATCAACTTGGCAAGTTTTCCTGGTCAAAACTAACCTCCCCCCAGCAATTGCCCCATAGTCTTTCTGTCTGGAGTGACCTACCTTGCCATCAGATGCAGTGTTGATCCTGTAGTGGTACACCCTCCCCTCATACCGCAGGGAGATGGACCTCTGGCCAGGACTGCTCTCACTCTCCCGCACCAGGAAGCTGCCGTTAATTCCACTGCTTAGCAGGTATTCAGCGGCATTGCGTGACACAGGCCCATGGTACCAGGAATGTTTCTCCAGACTGTTGACTGGTGTGATATAATTGCTTGGGACCCACCCTTGGCCATTTTTGGTTTGAGCTTCACACCATTCACCATTGTGATTGTAGCCCAAGACCCGGAGCTTTTCACCTTAGAGAAAAGAACCAAAGCAAGATACATTGACTTTTTAAAGGCTGAGTGCATTCTCATTTATGCTTGTGTGATTACTAAAAAATCTCTAAATGTCAAGACACTGCCATCATTTGAGCAAACCCATATACATATCTGCATTTATAAGTGTATATAAGTATCTGCTTAGGGAGCTCTGGTGGCCTAGTGGCAAGAAGCTGTACTGCAATCTCAGAGATACACAGTTCAAATCCACCAGATGCTATGCTGGAGAAGGAGGGGCAATCTCCTCCTGTACCAGTCAGATCCAATTTGATGGTACACACATACAAAAAATAATAAAATAAAAATAAATCTTTAAAAGTCTGCTTATAAGTATTCCTATGGGTACCGAATACACAAATATATTATTTCTGCTATTACAAATCTATTACGCTTACTCAAAATATTCTACTCCTAATGTAAGAAAGCCTTTTCAAAAAAACCCTGCCTTTTCTAGAAATTTCTTTTGTTAGTATTTACTCCATTGTATTTTCTTACTTTTTAGATTTTGCTAAAAGCTACCATTCACAAACCCTTCTCCTAAAGAATAAGTACGATTCTTTTATAAAGATTCTTTAATTTTTTTAGATATTTCTCTCATTCCAAACTTCAAACCAACTTTTTTAATTAGCAAAGGAGTGGCCTGGCAGACCACAATCCACCCTGACTTCTGTCTTCTGCACCACTCCTAGCAGCCAACAGAATCTTTACCTTTAGTTATGCTGAGGGTGTTGTCCCCACTGGCCACAAAATCATACAGTGCAACAAAAAGGTTGGGATCATTTTCACTGGGACCAGCAAGAAGGTTTTCCTTGGAGTTCCAGCGAGCCGCTTCGCTCAGACCTTGGGGCTCAAAGTCAGATGCTACTGGCCTCTGAAGGGCTTCTGGAAGACAGAGATAAGAATTGGAAAACAATTTTAAAATTGTCATTCTCAAGAGCAAAGGAATCTATGTTTTCAAAATCATTACATTCTTTATTTCTAATTTTATAACATCAACAGTACACATTATACACACACACACACACACACATATGGTTGTTATTTGCCTTCGGGTTGAGCATGACTCATAGCTAGCTACCCTATGAACAAAAGGCCTGAAGCCCCTCTACAGCTATCAACATTTATCAAAGTTCAGAGTGTTTCTGGAGGCATGTTGTTTAACACACACACACGCGCGCACGCACACACACACACACAAAAGCATTTCAAATAAGCCTGTGATCAATGTGCTTAGAGAAATTTCCTTTTGTGTAGGATCCTCAACCCACATCTTAGAAACATCTCTATTTTTGATACAGATTTATCTGTGCATTTGTGTTAAGACTTATTTTCAGTGGAGCAAATTATCAGCTTGGAAAGTTTTTTCTTTCTTTGTGAAGACCGTCATGACTGTTGAATGTAACATATCTAAATTGGCAGCCACAGTATTCAGTGATTTTCTCCCTTTATTTTTCCCACTTTACATTCATACTGTTTAATAACCTCTGTCTTCTGAATCCACACCACTTTGCCTCTTGCTGCTACCACTAGCACCAAATCTGCTGCTAGATTTGGGAGCCACAGTGCGGTAATATTTTCAAAAGAAAATGAAATATAGATAATAGTATAACACTCAAAGGTGTAAGACAAAGAAGACTTGAGTGGGTTTTCAGAGGCAGTAAATAGTACAGGGGGAAACTGCTCATCGTTCTCCCACTGTGCAGTCAGAATCTCTCTTCTAGCAACACTAAAAAAGATACTAGCAATCATTTCCATTTTTGAACTCTTCAACCTTCAGGAAGCTCTGGTCAGTATGTAGAGACCTGTGCTACTGTCTCAGAGACTAGACCTCTCTGGTTGTTTAAATCCACCAGTGACTCTATGGAGGAAAGAGAACTCTATTTTCTTTTACCCAGGGAGCTCTACTGGTGTGGTCTGTAAGAAGGGTCACAGTAAACTCACAGGCTGAGCAAGTCCCCTGTGGGAACTCCCCAGCCATTCCTGAGGGAAGACAGGCTGTCTCCTCCTGTTAGGATTTATGGCTTCTGACAGGTAGGAGTCAGAACCAATGTGACAGTGGCGAGTTGGACATTTTCTTAGGTGAAAATTATTAATAGGAACTTCCATAATCATAGTAATAATAAAAGCTTTTCATGTTTTGTACATTGGTAAATTCTAGAAGCCGAAAATCCAGTTCTTATATTATGAATAGGTTGTGTCATCTCCTTAACGCAGACTGTTGATAAATCATCCACCAATCTTGACCCCACATTTCTCCTCACAGAGCCCAGCCTCCCGGATAATGTGTTCTGCATATAGGTTGAAAAGGTATGGAGATAGGAGGCATCCCTGGCGTACGCCCTTCCTAATTTTGAACCATGCAGTGTTCCCTTGCTCTGTTCTGATGACTGCCTCCTGGTCCAAGTATAGGTTTCACATTAGAAAGATCAAGTGTTCTGGGATTCCCATTCTTCTCAGAGTCAGCCATAGTTTGTTATGATCCACACTCAAATGCCTTTGCATAGTCAATGAAACACAGATAGACATTCCTCTGGTATTTCCTGCTTTCAGCTAAGATCCATCTAACATCAGCTACAATATCCCTAGTACCACAACCCCTTCTAAACCCACCCTGGACTTCTGGTAGTTCTCTGTTGATGTGCTGTTCCAGTCGTTTTTGGATAATCTTCAGTAAAATCTTGCTTGCATGTGAAATCAGTGAGATTGTTCTGTAGTTTCCATATTCTGTTGGGTCACCTTTCTTTGGGATAGGAACAAATATAGATCTCTTCCAGTCAGTTGGCCAAGTGGTTGTTCTCCAGATTTCTTGGCACAACTTGGTGAGCACATCCAGGGCAGCATCTGTTAGCTGAAATATGTCAATTGGTATACCATCTATTCCTGGAGCCATATTTTTTGCCATTTCCTTCAAAGCAGCCTGAACTTCTTTCATCACCATAGGCTCTTGCACATAAGTTGTTTCATGAAATTCTTCTGTGTTCTGCAGCCTACAATATGCATTGAGGCTCAATGTCAAGAAGACAAAGATTCTCACCACTGGACCAATTGGCAGCATCAGGATGGATGGTGAAGAGATTGAGATTGTACACAGCTTTAGTTTGCTTGGCTCCATAGTCAACAGTCTTGGCACCAGCAACCAGGAAATTAAAAGGCACATTGCCATGGGAAAGTCTGCTGTTAGGGACCTCTCGAAAGCACTGAAGAGCAATGGTGTCTCTCTGGAGACTAAGGTGCGTCTGATACAGGCCATGGTCTTTGCAATCACCTGTTATGCATCAGAGAGTTGGACAATGACCAAGAAGGATAGAAGGAGAATTGATGCCTTTGAGCTGTGGTGCTGGAGAAGAGTATTGAGAATACCATGGACTGCTAGGAAAACAAACAGATTTGTCCTGGAAAGGGTTAAACCGGGTGGCTCCTTGGAAGCAAGGATTCTGAGGCTCCGTCTAACATACTGTGGACATGTTGTGAGGAGAGACCAGTCCTTGGAGAAGGACATCATGCTTGGGAGGGTGGAGGGACAGCGCAGGAGGGGAAGGCCCTCTATGAGGTGGACTGATTCAGTGACTGAGATAATCAGGATGGGAGTGTCAGAGACAGTGCGATTGGCACAGGACAGAGTTTAGGGCTGTTGTACATAGGGTCGCTATGAGTTGCAAGTGACTCGATGGCACATAACAACAACAACAACATTATGAATGTTAGGACTACTGCTTACTACACAATCTAATAGTTCATTATGTTTTTCTTAAATTCTCTTTTTCTCTGGAATTATGTTTAAACTTTCTAGAATTTATTTGTGATAATGGCAATACACAAAAGAGTTCTTCCAAACGAGGAAGTCTATTCTAAGTAGACCTTACAGATGAAGGACATTGCAAAAATCTGAAAACCACCAGTTAACAGGAATGACGAGGGAAGGAGAGGAGAGTAAAAATTAATGGAGAAACTACATGAGGGGAAAGGCAAAAGCTAAGAAGAGGCCAATTAAACATGATAGTAAATTAATTACATTAGTCTTAATAAATGTTATATTCCAAAAAGAGAAGAAAACTGCCATAAATACTATAACTTAAAAGCAGGTTGTTACGTGGGAGTGAATGGGAGTAGGTATGTACCTGTGTGTGGAGGGGCCAGTCCTTACTTAAAAACACAAAGGATCTACCATATGCTTCAGACAAACACAAATAATATAAAAACAAACTTAACATTTTCCTTTTTTCTCTCTCTGTAGATTTAGAGGACCTTCAGACATCTTTCCTTGGGTAATATCTCCAATACTAGAGATTCTACAATAGCCTCATAAAAACACTGGTGGTGTGTGAAAAGACTAGGTCAAATTTTCAGAAATATGACTGGAGAATTTTTAGAATTGGACCTTATTTCCAAGACTTATTTGGAATAAGGCAGTTCTGGTGGCCCAACAGTAGAAGTTGTGCTGCCAACTGGAAGGTTCGCAGTTCGAATCTATCAGCTGCTTTGTGAAAGAAAGGCAATCCCTTGCCTGCACAATTCAGAGCCTCTGAAAACCTGCTATGGGATCAATAGTTCTGACTTGACAGCAATGAGTTGTTCCATTTGTTTGAAACAAGGAGCCCTGGTGGCTAACGGAAAACTTCACAGTTATAAATCCAGCAGGCATTCCCCATAAGATAGTTTCTTCCTATAAATTCTTACAGCCGCAGGAACACCAGGGAGAGCTGCTATGAGTTGGAATGGAGTATGGTAGGGGTTTTAGTTTTATTTAGAATAAACCAACAGAATATAGATAACAGAGGCCTTTTCTACGATAGCCCTGGTGGCATTGTGGTTAAGAAATTTGGCTGCTAACCAGAGGTTGTTAGTTCGAACTACCAGTCACTCTGCAGGGAAAAGGTGAGGTAGTTTGCTTCTGTAATGATTTAGGGCCTTGGAAGCCCTTTGGGGCAGTTCCACTCTTCCCTCCAGGGTCATTATGATGTTGTTGTTATGTGCCGTCGAGTCGTTTGCGACTCATAGCGACCCTGTGTACAACAGCCCTAAACCCTGCTCTATCCTGTGCCAATCTCATTGCCTCTGACACACCCATCCCAATTACCCCAGTCACTGAATCAATCCACCTCATAGAGGGTCTTCCCCTCCTGCGCTGTCCCTCCACTCTACCCAGAATGATGTCCCTCTCTAAAGACCTGTCTCTACTTACAACATGTCCAAAGTATGTCAGACGAAGCCTCAGAATCCTTGCCTCCAAGGAGCAGCCTGGTTTAACCCTCTCTAGGATGAATCTGTTTGTTTTCTTGGCAGTCCATGGTACATCCAATACTCTTCTCCAGCACCACAGCTCAAAGGCATCAATTCTCCTTCTATCCTCCCTAGTCATTGTCCAACTCTCTGACGCATAACAAGTGATTGCAAAAACCATGGCCTGTATCAGGCGCACCTTAGTCTCCAGAGAGACACCATTGCTCTTGAGTACTTTAGAGAGGTCCCTAACCGCAGACTTTCCCATCACAATACATTTTTTTATTTCCTGGCTACTGGTGCCAAGAGTGTTGACCGTGGTCACTATGATAGGGAACAGAATTGATGGCAGTGGGTGGGAATTCTAGCTTTTGTGCTACTAACTGAATAAACCTTTACAGAATGTGTTCTAAGAGTAAATCCCAAAATATGTCATTATTTTGGTAATTTCACCTTAATGAATCATGAGGCAAACAAATTTCAAGGAAATAGGTCTTGAAACATGATCATTTCCTAAAACATGGGAAAAACCACGTAATGACATATTTAGGTCTTATTATGTGAATATTTACAATGTACAGTAAAAAAGAAATTATAAGGAAGCTCTGGTGGCCTAGTGGCAAGAAGCTGCACTGCAATTCCAGAGGCACATGGTTTGAATC